ACTAACCATATAAAATACAAACCTAACACCAGAGCTGCCAGTGACTCTAAATATTTCTTTTATGGTCTGCTTCTTAAGAATTGCTGAAGACTGATAGCCACATGAGGACCCTTCCATGTTTACACAGTGCTCTTCCTCCCATACTCTGTTTTTAGCCCTGCTCTTGCAGCACTCACTCATTATCTGGGGAAGGCATCATTAAGTGGTGGTCGTTGGTACCCCACGCTGATGATCCCCCACATCAATTCTGCAGAGCACCTAACAAGCACAGACTGTCTGAAACTGATGCAATAAAAATAAAGCCCGGCTAAGTATCGAGGAGAGGTAAGTACCCTAATTTTTTGTGTCTCATATTGCAAATCTCTTATTGCAAATCTCATACTGCAGCTGCTGTCAGGCCAATGAGAACAGCAAGCAAACAACAGCCATGAGTGCGGCTACATCTCTGAAATTAAAGAACGTGCAGCAATGTAAGCATGCATAAAATGAAGGCATGCTGCTTGAGAGATGCTGGCAAAGTACTAGGATAAAGAGTGACATTTACTACTAAGATGTGTAGAAACAGCATTCTTTTTATCTCCCACCATATTACAGCCCTGTATCACATCTCTGGTAGATCTCACGGAGTAAGTTAGAAATAGACTCATTCATACACAATGGACAATGGGAAAGAAGCATTTTTCCTAACATTTTGAGAAACACTTTTTCCTACCAAAACAAGGTATATCCTACTCTGAATTATTACCTTTGCCTCTGAGCTTAGTGAATTTATTAAAATTAAGCAGGTAAAGATTTTGATCCAAAATAGATGTAGAGTTGTAAATCAGACGGATTTGTGCTGCTGTTAAATTTCAGCAAAAAGAGAGTTGAACTTAGAGGAGAGGCACCGGTGAGAGGAAGGGGTGACCACCAGCCCTGGTCACTGGGAACAACTGTCCCATCCAGTTGGTAAATCTCAGTGCTGGGCCAGTGAGCGAGGAGTAGCCATGGGTTTGAGGTCACAGAGAATCTCATAGAATCATAGAATCATAGAATGGCCTGGGTTAAAAGGACCATCATGATCATCTAGTTTCAACCCCTCTGCTATGAAGGTTGAAAAGACCAATAAGATCAACTAGTCCAACCATCAGCCCATGCATGTGTCTGCTCTAGGCCACGTCACTCAGTGCCACATCCACCCTTTTGTTGAAAACCTCCAGGGAACAGAATTGTACAGAAGGTTACAATTAAGGTTAGAAAGACCAACATGCTTCCACGTCGTTCCCATCAGCACAGCATTCATTCACTCTCCAAAGAGCAACCCGAGGATTTTTCCTTCCCAGAAAGGGGAAGATTGATCAGAAATGAACTTGAATGCATGCAACATGTTAAACCACCATGTTCCATGCACTGTGTTTGATTTTTCTTCACCACTGCTCCGCTGTGCTCCCTCGCTGGATTTCAAAGCACTCAGAGCGCTCTGCTCTGCAATATCTGGTTTCAGGCAAGCAGCGTGGCAGTGTGCCTGAGCTGAGAAAATATGCTTGAAGTCTGCATTCACAGGCAGCTTCAGCATCCTAAGGAAAACGCTTTGTTTTTGTAGCCTGAAAGTATGTCACAAACATGAATAGAATGATACGCTCACTCTCCCTTGCCCTCAATCCTCTTCACCTTAGGAAAAAATTATACACTTCCAATTACAGGGCCAGTTAAAATCAATACAAAGGTGGGAGAAAACAGATCATTTTTCTTATGGAAGTAACTGTTTTCATTAATTTTTCATTAGTCCTGCTTTTGTTGTGCTATCCATCACTGAAGGAGCTGGTATGCAGTAGATTACATTTAGGTTATCTTACATGCTTCCAGGATTTAGTAGATATTGTCTGATAAAGCTGCAAGCTCTATGGCTTTAACTTACATCTATCAATAATGCATCAGAAGAGAATTTTTTTGCACGCAGCTGTCCCTGAGCCAAGCGGCTTTCTCCTGGAAGAGCAGCGCTGGTTGCAGCTGATACGCTGCTGCAGTTTACAAACCTCTCATCTAAAGGCTACAACTGCGAGATGAGCAGATGTGCCAGGAGAGAGATCATCTGGGAGGGTTTAGCTCTGCTTTCCTGGTGCTGCCATTGAGATTTTGGAACTCCTGAAGCCAAAGCCCTTTCACAGAATACACCAGGGTACTTTGTTGCTGGTTTGTTTGGTTTTTTTTTCTCCTTCTAATACCCAAGTTCTGTGGTAAGGAACTTCAGCCTGCTAAGTCCTGAGAAGGACTTAGGGGTCCTGGCTGATGAAAAACTTAATATGAGCCAGCACTGTGTGCTTGCAGCCCAGAAAACTCATGGTATCTTGGGTTCCATCAAAAGAGGGGTGGCCAGCTTGGACAGGGAGGGGATTGTCTGCCTCTGTTCTACCCACATGAGGCCCCAATTGGAATACTGCATCCAAGTATAGGGCCCGCAACACAGGAAAGATGTGGAGCCATTGGAGAGGGTCTAGAGGAGGGCTATGAAGACGATCCAAGGGCTGGAGCTTTTCTCCTATGAAAACAGGCTGAAGGAACTAGGTTTGTTCAGCCTAGAGAAGAGAAGGTTGCAGGGAAACCTCATTGCAGCCTTCCTGTATTTAAATGGAGCTTATGAACATGAGAGAAATCAACTTTTTATGCAGGTAGATAATTACAGGACAAGTGGGAACGGTTTTTAACTAAAGGAGAGATTTAGATTAGATGTTGGGGGAATTTTTTTACTGAGAGAGTGGTGAGATGCTGGAACAGGCTGCCCAGAGAAGCTTTGGATGCCCTATCCCTGGAAGTGTTCAAGGCCAGGCTGGACTGGACCTTGTGCAACCTGATCTAGTGCTTGATCTAGTGGTGGGCAATACTGCCCATAGCAGGGGGTTGGAACCTGATGATCCTTGAGATCCTTTCCAACCCAAGCCATTCTACAATTCTATGATTCTGTGAACTGAAACATCACAAATAAATAGAAAATTGCAGTTGCTCCTGGAGAGCTGAGCCAGAGGGCGGAGATGGAGACATAAGAAGAGCCCACTGTTTGTTTCATTTATTTTTCTTTCACTTGGGAAGGAATTAGAAAACAATCCCAAAGTTGTGTCAAGTCTAACATGCTCAGAGCGTTACTTGTTAAACCTATTTGAACATTTCAACAATGCTTTATATTTTCTCAGCCTTAAAACAGTGTGCCATAGCACCTCACTGACTCCAACATCTTTCCATTCTGTAGAGGTGATGTGAAAGGTAAGGTGACAGCTGGTTGGGAGTCCTGGAGCACAGCTTCTATCCAGGTATTTGGAAACCATCCTTCTTGAGTCCCCCAGCCGTAAGAGAAGTGTGTTACTGCCTTTTGCTCTTAAAGATAGGGAGGTGCTCAACTGAAGGCTCACATGATGCTTTGAAGAAATCAACTATGGTAATAAAGTCAAAATTACTACTTTTGAGCTGCCTACTCCCAGGCAGAAGAAAATTAAGCTTCCTGAGCTGAAGAAAGAAATGGGGGAAAGAAAGACACGGCTACTTTTGGTTATTATCTGGCAATGCAAGTTTTTAATGTGAGCCTTCCAGATCTTGAGAGGCCAGGCTCTTCTCAGTGGTGTGTAGTGAGAGGACAAGGAGCAATGGCATAAAACTTGAATACAGGAAGTTTCATACAAACATGGAACTTCTTTATGGTAAAGGTGGTGGAGCACTGGAACAGGCTGCCCAAAGACGTTGTGGAGTCTCCTTCTATGGAGATATTCAAGACATGTCTTGATGCCTACCTGGGCAACCTGATGTAAGGAACCTGTTTTAGCAGGGGGTGGACTCATGATCTCTTGAGGTCCCTTCCTGCCCCTGCAATTCTGTGATTGTGTGAGATGTTTAGAAGCAGTAAGGATTAGCGAAATCACTGCTGCTGATCTCAAGAACCACGTTTGGGTTGGTCTGTGTTTTTTGCACTTCCACTGATTCTGATTTCTTTGGGGCTAAACAAGGGAAGCACTGAACACCTACCTCTATCCTTGCTAAGCCTTCTATTTGAGCTGAGCCAGAGCGCATGCAGAATGGGACTTCAGGGGACTTCAGCAAATGTAGTTCTTTCTTTCTGCCAACGCCCAAAGGGAGCTGCATGCTTAGCACATCACCACCCTGCCCTGCAGGGAGGAGTCAGATTCAACCAGGCTTCCAGTGACTGCCTATGGGAAATGTTACAGCTTTTAAAGATAATACACAGAGGGCATGGTCCAGTGCAACACTACGGCTGATAGCTGTGCTGTGCCTCTTTTGTGGGGCAAGCTCACCATTAATAAGGAAGGTAGAAGATGAGATCTAGCCCACAGGATCTGTTATCAGCTGCATAATAATGTATTCTATTTTAGGGGCACAGGACTCAGTAATGTATTAAGCCCCCATCCAATAAATGGAAATAAAAGCATAGATTCAGGGAAAAAGGTCTTTCCCCAGCTGTCAGAAGGACACCCCTGTTTGGGAGCTCACTCCTGTGCACACGGAGGAAGCTTTTTGGGTTTGGTATCAGTATTCTCCCCTAGCATGGACATCAGCATCCTGGTTACCAGGTAGAAGCACTAACTCTAGATTAAAGGGGATATATATGTTTATGCTATGCACCTGCATTGTTTTTTCCCTTTTCCTTTTTCTTTTTTCTTCATTTTCTTTCTTTTTTTCGGGGG